TGTCCTAAACAGGGTCTGAACCTGTCCTAAACAGGGTATGGTTGCACGATTGTCGTCGTAAAAATATGGTTTATACAGTATTTAGAGATCGGAGACGTTTGCCGCGTATCAGTCAAACGAGGTTCGCTAAATTGCAACCTAAACAGGGTCCTAAAATAGAGGATGTTGTCCTACACAGGGTAGGTATTTTAGGGGTTTTTATTGTTGTTTTTTTTGTCCTAAACAGGGTCAGGTTTTCAAACCCTCAGCGGCATTCCTATACCCAAACATGGGTCAAGTAACCCCCCTGGGAGAAAGGCACAGTGAGAGTTAAGTGTCTTGCCAATAACACAACACATGATGGCCAGGGATCGAACTAACCATTAGACCACAATGTCTGCCTAACCAAATGACATTGAATGTTCAAAAAATATAATTTCCAAAATTGTAATGCTAGCAAGTTACCTTTTGATAACCATCATCTCTTGGTAAGTGAAGGGAACCTTAGAAAAGGGAAAAAGATTTTCTATTAGATAAATGATTGTAAAATGCAGCAACATTCTGTCAAATTCACCTATATGAAGGGCTTGGGGAAAGAGGGGTGTACTGTATGTACATGATTGTTTTTATTGATTTGTGACTTCTGCTAAGAATAATTACATCACGTGTAGCAAACATTCCCAGCAATGCTGCAGGGGTTTTTTCTTTTTCATCAAAACCATTAATTCCAAAGGATTTGGTCATAGTTACAGCTATGTCTTTACCTAGTAACTCAGCAATACTTGATTGATTTATTTTGTTAAGGGCGAACACAAAAAAAATTACAAAAAATGTTCAGTTGTACAGTGAAACCTCCATTAAGGGAACACCCTCAGGACAAGGAGAAGTGTCCCCTTAATAGAGGTGTCACTTTAATAGAGGTAACATATTACAAAGATTATTATGAGCGTTAATTTTGCCAGGACAAAAGTTTGCGTCCCCTTAATGGAGGTGTCCCAAAGTAGAGGTTCCATTATAGTATGCTTCATGTAATTCAGTTGCTACAATCTGAGACAAGATTAGTTGGGACACAATGCTGATATTTTCATTCCTGCTGTCCCTTCTCCCCTATCAATGTTGTTTATTGCTATTTTGTTATCCAATCTTGCAAACCAACATTGAGAGGAGCAAGGGAGAACAAAACTGTCCCAACTAACATGTCTGCTATTGTAGATAAAGATTTCACTTTATACAGTTACGCTTTGCCCTAGATATCAATTACCAGTAATTTGTAAAATAGAGGGGTTTTCAATTGTGTTGAAAGTAAATATACGTTTGATTTGGTTTTGCTTCACTACGCTCTGTGATTGGTTCATAAAACTTGTGCTACCTTATCTTAACCAATCAGATGCCAAACTAAAACCAATCGTGACTTGGTCACATGCGTTTTCCCACGTTTGGCGCCGGTTACATGTATTTGCTTTGAGCTCTGATTGATTCCTTGTGTTGTTTTCATCTGTTGTAATTGGCCAGAGTGAAAAAATTTACTTTGATTTTGGTTTTACTACACTCAATTGAAAACCGCTATAATAATGATTAAAGTGTATATGACAGATATTTTTTTATTTGCTTGATCGAATCTACATAGGATACTGATACGAACATCGAAAAAAATAATTCCATATCGCTTTTTCTTCACCGCGTTTTAGCCGTCTAAAGACGTGAAATTTCATTTCCGGTTAGGTAAAAAGCCGAGCGAGGTGGATTCCTGGACCGAGTCGGTCGTGACGTCAAAACCAGAACGCCTTCGACAACAACGCAAAGACAGCGAGGAGTTTCGTGGCTTGTAGTGTGTATAACCAGATATATTTTAGTTCAAATTTGTCTAGAACCGTCAAAACTTACACAAAGTTATGTCTACGGATGATTTTGAGTTTGGGAGCGACTCTGAGCGATCAGACGCATAATTCAATGTTTCTTCGACTGTTGATGAAGTTGAGTGCGATGAGTTTATACAGGTTTATAGAAGCAGCAGCAGACAACTCAGACCCAGAAGGTCCTTACGATGAGTGGCTTCAAGAGTACATGTATACCGCTAGCAGATAACGACAGCGATATAATTTCTCATTCTGAAAGCATTCAGAGCCCGGACATGCTGGAAATGCGTGTGTATGAACTACGCCGTAAAAATAACATTGTTTGTTTACACAATTGCGCTGTTTGAATCGAAATGAGTTGAACCGATTTGTAATAAGCTTTTTAAAATTCGCTTGTAGTTTATCTTGAGTTTTTCTCTTTTCGAGGACTGTTCATGAGGGGCGAAGAGCAGCAACTCGCGAAGCGGCGAGCGAGTTTGAAATCGAATGGATTTTTAGCACGAAGATCGCGGCACGCTCCAAATGTAAATAGTGTCACAGAAGCGGTCACGACTAAACAAGGTTTTTTTCCTTCTTTTCGCTCCTAAAGGTATTTAAGAAAAATGGTCATTGAATTTGATAGAGTTTCTTATTCATCTTTAGAAAGAATGTTTCATGGAGCAATTATGTCCGGAGTCCCAGACAAGTCAGAAACAACTGCGTGATTTTCATTCAATGCGCTGTTGTGATAACTTGGCCTGAATCGCTTTTCATAAAATAGTCTCACTAGTACTTTCTCAGTCAACAGTGGTTTACTTTGGGAGGCAGAGGAATAATTTATCTTTAAGAAAACCGGAGTTGTGATTCAGAACCATTTTTGTCCGGTTCAGAGTAACGTTTTCGCTCAGTTCTGAATAATTGTTCGATGCTGGGCTCGCGATAGTAACTTTATTTATCCACATATCACATTCTACATATTGGTCTGCCTCTACCGAAGATTGTGCAGTTGTTGCTTCTTCCGCAAGGACAACAGACACTGAAATCAAAATTCAAAACAAAATACCTTTAGGAGCGAAAAGAAGGACAAAAAACCTCTTGTTTAGTCGTGACCGCTTCTGTGACACTATTTACATTTGGAGCGTGCCGCGATCTTCGTGCTAAAAATCCATTCGATTTCAAAGTCGCTCGCCGCTTCCGACGAGTTGCTGCTCTCTTCGCCCCTCATGAACAGTCCTCAAAAGAGAAAAACTCAAGATAAACTAACGAGAACTACAAGCGAATTTTAAAAAGCTTATTACAAATCGGTTCAACTCATTTCGATTCAAACAGCGCAATTGTGTAAACAAACAATGTTATTTTTTACGGCGTAGTTTATACACACGCATTTCCAGCATGTCCGGGCTCTGAATGCTTTCAGAATGAGAAATTATATCGCTGTCGTTATCTGCTAGCGGTATACATGTACTCTTGAAGCCACTCATCGTAAGAACCTTCTGGGTCTGAGTTGTCTGCTGCGCTGCTGCTTCTATAAACCTGTATAAACTCATCGCACTCAACTTCATCAACAGTCGAAGAAACACTGAATTATGCGTCTGATCGCTCAGAATCGCTCCCAAACTCAAAATTATCCGTAGACATAACTTTGTGTAAGTTTTGACAGTTCTAGACAAAATTTGAACTAAAATATATCTGGTTGTACACACTACAAGCCACGAAACTCCTCGCTGCCTTTGCGTTGTTGTCGAAGGCGTTCTGGTTTTGACGTCACGACCGACTCGGTCCAGGACTCCCACCTCGCTCGGCTTTTTACCTAACCGGAAATGAAATTTCACGTCTTTAGACGGCTAAAACGCGGTGAAGAAAAGCGATATGGAATTTTTTTTTCGATGTTCGTATCAGGATCCTATGTAGATTCGATCAAGCAAATAAAAAAATATCTGTCATATACACTTTAAACACCACAGGTTTGCAATGTAATGTAATATAGCATTACCTGAAGACATCCCTGAGCCATTAAGCACATCTTGTGCTAAATTATTGTTTCGTAAAATGTGTGATCCTACAGAACCTCTCCTCCTAAAATCAAGATAAACATTTATTTTAATAATAATTTTAGAGAACTTACAGTAACTTGAAGGTAGTGTAACTTGATAATTAGATCCTTCATTTGGGTGCATACAAATAAAGCATGCACAGAAAAGGAATTCCCTTTCTGATTCCCTCCGTCCCTATTCCTAACAATAAATATTTATGCTAATGCATTATTTTGCTCTTGTCCAGTTTGATTACCAAGAGTAATGTACCAGTGAGATTAATTTATTACCTCAATGTACAGATTGCCGTAAAATTAAGGTACTTGCCTGATTAACACCAGTTTCCATTACAGGGCTTTTAAATAATCATTATTAATTTTTGTTTGTTTGAGGCATTAGGTAATTAAAACTGCACTTGAGCCAAACTGGCCCATCCCGGTTGCTGTAGCATGAAGCTGACTAGGAGTATTGCTACTCCCCCTGGATGGGATGCTAGTCATCGTCAGGTTACCCCCCAGCATTTTGTCGCCGGTACCCATTTATACTCCCAGGTGGAGAGAGGTGCTGTTGAGAGTAAAGTGTCTTGCCCAAGAACAAACACAGTGACCTGGCCAGTGCTTGAACCGGGACCGCTCGATTTGAAATCCAATGTGTTAACCATTAGGCCATCGTGTCTCCCACAATGCCCCTTTTGGGACCTGCGCAGTGATAATTAAGTATTATGATGTAAAATTGTTAGTACAGGATATACCAATACATTTAATTTGTATGATAATTACATTACAGTAAAACTTACTTTTCTTTTTTAGCATTTGTCAGTGACATAAATTGTTTCTAACATTTCTCAAACTTGAGAGAATCTGGAAAGAAGAGAGATATAAAAAAGCTATTGAATAGTACCTTCACATAATGCTCCTTGTTTTCAATACTTTGCAAAATATTTTGTGATTTTTTTTTCATTTTTGAACTTTGGCACTGTTCAGAATGAAAGTGTTAACGAATAAAAAGGCCTACAAAGCACCAAAGTATAGTTTTTGTAGGTGACAAATTTACCCTTATAGAAGCCATGAAACAATAATATTCTCGAAAGGAAAATGTTCCAAGGAAGACCTAAATATGACACTACGTACTCAGCGTGGTTGCCAGCGTGGTTGCCTCGATGGTGAGTGGTCATCAAACCTGTTTTAGTAACAGGATGACGTGGGTTCGATTCCCACTCGGGACAACATATTTTTCTTTCTTATGGGATGTGTGTCGAAGTCATGTTTACACAGTTAAATCTGTGGGTTATTTTCATTTTATTTGTGGTCAGAACTTTCCTGGCTTCAAAATAGTTCTTTGTAGACAAATTCACAATTTAACTGTTTACTCGGCCTCCTTCATCACATTCTGCCACATGCTTATAACATATTACTCCGACAGCAGTAGTTTAGCCCATTCCCACCCCAGCCCCGGCAATAGGGCGGGAGCGGGGCGGAGGCGACGAGGCGAAATAGGTAGAGACACC